TTTTTTTTTTTTTTTTTTTTTTTTTTTTTTTTTTTTTTTATACACATTATTTCTCACCTTTCAGTAGTCCTCCTGCTCAAAAGCTCCCTACTGCAAATATATACATCAGCATTTGTGTGGTAAGAATTGCAAGTGTCATGCAATAACCGTGGTGACCTGCACAATTTTTCAACATAACCATCATGTTCAATTATGTTCTGATGCCCTAAATATCAGTGTAAGAGGTATTAACACACACAGGGATCCTCAACAGTTCTATTTTTTAATACTTTAAATGCCCTTTGCCTTGGGTATTGAGGCACTCTGTACATAACCTTGCATGTAACGCTCTCAACGCTCCATCCTTCATCACAAACAACAATTTTACTGTCTGAAGAATATAAAACCCCTGTAATCCTCTCATCCATGGATTATTATTTTTTAAGTAACTTCTCCATTTGCATACAGTGACAATTTATTACTGTCATTGGAATAGTAATCTGGGAGGCACTCGGCTATCACAGGAATTAAGTGAAGCCTTTCAAAGGGGCAGTAAGCTTGACCTACTTACCCATAAATGTGGGGAGAGAGTCAGACAATCTCTGTGAACTGACAGACAAAGGAAACAAACCTATTTTTCATAAAAAATGGGGGAGGGAAGAAAGCAGCCAACCTGTGCTATCTCTTCAGTTTTTCTTAATTTTTCTTCCCAGGTCACAGTCATTTCCTGAATCAACTTTTCTGATTCCTCCAATCGTTCTTTTAATTCTGGTGATTTCATAGCCTGCAAAAATAAAAGAAAATAAAAGAGGAAAGGTTGTTGTGCTTTGTTTTTTTCACATCACTGTCACACAGATGGGGGGAAAAAAGTAAACATAACTTTACTCATTTTTCAAGGCATACTTATCGGTAAGTAAAGGGTTTTTTTTTTTTTAAAATACATATTGCATATAAATGCAGAATCCATCAGAAACTTAATTAGCTTCAAGTACAGATGCTAAAGTGGAGTTTATATACTTCACTGCAAACCAATTATATGATACTGGCAGATTTGCACAAAGATATTCAAAGGCAAACTAATCTCACTTCTATGCCAACACAAGTGTCCCAAACAACTATCTAGAACAGTTTTGTTTCAGAAGATGCTGCTGGTCTGGCTAGCCACCACCATCTCAGCTATTGTTTCCTCAAAATGGCACTTAACATCTCAGTCACTCGAACTACCATGCCAACAAAACACTTCTTTTGTTCATTTTGATACGGCTGACGGGTGTGATTTTTTTTCTTTCTGTAGCAAATATCAAGGCATCCATGGCATTCTGGTTATCTACCTCTACATATGCATTTTACAGAGAAGGTATCAGAAGTCTTACAATGTGCTTCCGGACACTGGAATTCAATTTTGTTGCTGATCTATCACAGCTCTAATTTTGTTTTGGGAAATAGTCAAAGACCCATGTTCCATCCAAGGACTAACTTGAGAATAAGAAGATACCCCCACTGGAGCCCATCCGATACTCCGAGAACTGACAGGACATCAACATTTTTATATTACATATATTTACTTCCACCGGTCTTGGTACTGGCATATTCCTCCCCTACTACCTGGAACGGGAAGCCTATGGACTTCCTTATGTCATTATTTCATTACTGCTAACAAGATGAAAATGGTTTTGGCTGGTAGGTACTTATGCAATGCTGATTAAACAATGCAAGCATCGTTCTCCATCAGATATTCCCTTACCACAAAACCAAAATTCCCCACAGGACTCAAAAATCAGAGTGGCCTCATTACAGTGCAGTTCATTCAAGAAAAGGAGCAAATGCCAGGAGTAGAAAATCCTGTTTTAAGACAGGAGCTTCTTTTGCCTCAAGACACGACAGTCTAGAAACTGTCAGCTCATGTGTCCTGTGTAGTCTTTTTCTGGTTGAATGTCTGAAATACCTAAATACAGAGTAAAAGGGAACATGAATTCCATGCAGGAAGGAAAGTGAAGCCAAGGTAATCTCCAGAACAAAGACTGATTATGACCAATAAAACGTGATCTGTGCAAAGGTACTGGAGATGATGGAGCAGGACGGGAGGATGAAACCCAGCTACTCCCCAGGTCTAAGTCTTGTTTGTCCATTTATTTGAACCTGGGGCAAACTCACATGCTTCAGATATCAAACGAGCTTGGTAGTTGTCCTCACTCCTTACAGGGTTTATATAAACGATAGATCTATGGGCCCAGATTCACACCAGACCAGCAGGTAGGCTGCACTGCTGAAAGCAGTTAGTTTCAATTCCCAGTTTAGGAAGGACAAGCTGGTGGTCTTGGCACAGACAAATTAAAACATGTGATACTAGTTTTGACAAAAAAAGATCAAAATGTGGGGATTAAAAAAGGGGAAAGATGCTTTACTCCTCTGGGGTTAAAAAAAAAAAAAAAAAGTGAACTGTCAAGTTCTGTTTGCCTCAGCTGTTTAGGAAAGAAAAGGATACTGACACTGAAAGGAAAAAAACAAACCAAAACAAAACCACAACTTGGTAACCTCTGTATTTGGAAATGAGCTTTGAAAATGTAACCTGACCGTTATAAGGGGTCAATATTCTTGTTCACTTAAACCCCCCCCGTTATTTATACACATTTCTGTAAGAACAATTAGATGGGCTACAACTGTAACAAACTGAAAGGAGTACCAGACAATGCATGTGGGTTTTGACCTTTATTGTGCAGCCTCTTAATAGCAAACTACACCATTTTTTCCATGCTCTTTGTCAATGACATTGAGATGACAACTAGGGTGGGATATTAATACTTTGGGAAAGGAAATATTTATTGCTTCATATTTAGGAAACACTACTTCATTACTTTGGAAAGCTGCCATTATTTTGGCATTAATGCTCACAAATGAAACAAGTAAGGAATACTTGCATCCTTCAGAGTGATGTTGTCCTTGGTTCATATTTTATTGGAAGTTTTAGATATTTAACTTGAGATACCTTAAAGAAACCAATATACACTCAACTAGATGCTTAGCATATTAGGCAGCTCAAATGAGAACAGTCCAAAATTCACTAGTCATTTCTAACATCACAGCCAGCATTCCTTACATACCTCACGAGGAAAACACTGTAATCATGTTTTTTCTGAACTGCAAAACGGATTATATCACCATTTCTCTGACACATTTGAGAGCAGGACTCAGAATTACGCTAGTTCTTGGCCTTACCACTATTCTTTCACAGTTTTACTGAGGTAGCTATGCAGATATTCATAATAACGTCTAGCACCTGTAAGAGATTCAGCTGAGAACGGTTAAAGCTTGTAAGCAAGCATTATTTAACTGAATTCACATCTCACAGCATGTAGCCAAGATTGAATTCTTAGAATTCTGAAAATACGCCAGCAAATTTCTGCCTATAAACTGCACAGTCTTAAGGCTATCCCTGCCTCCATGTTTTGATCTGCACCTTGCAATAAACAAAATGCAAGGTGTTCAGACAGAACCTGGTATCTCATGTTATCACCTGTGTTTCAAGACTGATGCACAGAAAATCAGAAAGAAGTGATACCACGTAGTAATTCCTCATGGCATTCATTTTCGAGAGCCAGGTAAGAAAGTCTTGACAATGGGGTTGACAGGAATAGTGAAGATGAAAATGTGTACCTCTGCTTTTGTGAGCTGTTCTCGCAGCTTCTCCACTTCCTCACGGAGCTCCCGAATAATGCGAGCGTTGGGGTCTTCATTCACCACAGCGTGGTTAACGATGTTCTTGGCCCGGTCCGCATACCTCAGTGTGGAAAGGGTCTCATCATAGTTGTCCGCTGCTGGGCTTACTGTTGCTACCATGGCAGTCTTGCTGTTACCACCAAGGCTATCCTGGAAAGTGGCAGAGATTATAAAATTAAACCAGAAAGTCTCTTTCGTTTTACCCAGTCAATGAATGTAGGCATCAAGTGATAACCTAGAGTTTGGAGTAGATTTGGGCAACTAATAACAGAAACTATTCTGTCACAGTTCCTCAGTTCAAAATTAGTATTTTAAGCTGTGTAAACCAAGGAAAGTTGTTTTTTTTGGTTTTTTGTTTTTTTTTTTTTTTTAAAGCACATTGAGGAAACATCACTCTTGACTTTCAAGATCAGTTTTAGTTTTAACAGGAATGAAAACAGTTCCTCTTTGGGCTTTATGGTGCTTAGTAAGGGCTTCCAAGGTTTACTTCTACGTTTTCTGCTTATGTTTATAAACCAGAAATATAAGCAATTCAGCATTAAACTTCTCAGATACTAATGAAGGAGCTCAGGAAAAATACGATGAATTCAGAATATCTTCTTGTAAAGACTGGAAGCAAGATGACTTCAATAAGTATTTAAATTACTTTAAAGATCTCCGTAAACAACATAATTTATTTCATTCATTTCTGAATGGGGCCCTTTCCATACCCTCACTTTGAGAGCTCACAAACCTAAATTGAGTTATGTAAGAAATTACCCTTTTGCAATTTGGTTGACAGAGAAGGGCGTGAAACCACATTCCTGCAAGGCAGCATGTCAGGGGAGTGGGGGGAGGAAGGAAGGAAACGTTCAATCTTTTTATGCATCACATAATTGTGGTTTATAATTTTGGCCGGTCTAAAAGATAAAATATTCTGGTTCAAATCTTGCAGCACATCTTTTGTACTGTTTGGTTGGGTTTTTTACCCAATATCCCTTTCTGAGACGAACCATGCTATTAACTTTCATCTTCAATAACCCATGAAATCTAGGTCAGGCATTGCCATTAGAACAATCTGACTACATTAGCTGCTTGTCTAACCATTTCAATTACAAAGCACACACGCAGCTTTCCCTAGCAATCATTAAAACGCCCCTTTAAGTATTTCCTTAAGACTCTGTTTTTTTGCTGCATGATGCCTAAAATAGTTTGACAGCAGTCTGGCTGCTCCAGTGGTCAGACAAGCATTGACCACACAGCCTGACGTTGCTTCGCTGCTGCCTTGGTAGCACTCCGCAGTCTCTGGTCATGCAAAAGGGCTGATAGCTCTTTGGGTAGAGAATAGAATTTCATTTGTATAGTGTTCAGCACAGTAGCATAGTTAGAAATTGCAGGTATAGAGAAGTCGGTTGAAAAGAACACCCCTCTGACTGATAGCAGTGTGGGGTTTTTTTCTCATCCAAGGAGCAGCCAACGTTTACTCCAATAAATACATGGCTTGGGAGGATCCACTCTGTAACACAGAAATGTTTTTCCAAGGCATCTATTGAAAACTTATGAAAGACTAACAAGACCACATGACTCATTCGATAGGACTTCTGGCTCTACAGAAGCCAGGACTTTGCTTCAATCCATCAAGGGTTTTCAAAAATTAGGAACACCACTGCAACTGCAATCCCTGTTCTGCATAAAAAGATGTTTATCAGGGATCTGGCCAGGTACTTGGCTTCCAAATCAAACTTTAACAGTTTGCACTTTGGAAACCTCCTTCACTGCACTAATTAGCTCCAAAATAGGATTAATTCTTTATTTGAATTGCAACTCTGCTGCACAGGCGGCTGAGAACGCTGTTACAGTGATACACCGTAATTCACAAAACACCCATTATAAGTTGAGTAAAGTTCCTCTTGTACTGTAGCTATTCAAGCCCAATGCCAGACTGTCCTATAAAGTTTTATACATAAAACTGCTGTGCTGATTTCACTGGTTTCCTTAATGTTAAGCAAGAAAGTTAGCCAGCCTCTCATTAGCAAAGACAGGGCTTGCAAATTACCCTGGAAAGGCCGGGCTTGCATGTGATGGAGAGAGACACTGAGGGGAAATTTGTAAATGTAGTTATTTCTAAGACTAAACTAGCTCAGTGTTCTCTAGCACCAAGATTACTGTGAAAACAACTTAAAATGTAGAGATCAGAAATTTTATTTTTAATACCAGCCATCAGTAAAACATGCAGGGCTGATTAAAATGGGAAAATGAAATGTCTGTGCCAATGCAATTTAATAAAACCAAGAAGTTAAAGCACCAACAAGCTGTTTTGCTTCCTACACATATAACCTGATGCCACTCTCCAAGCCTCCTCTTGCAACAGTATTTTTCACCTGGTACTTCTGTCTAAGATCCTCAACAAAATTAAACAGAAAGTGTTAAGAGCTTGAGGTCTACTGAACACTACTGTTTTCTCAGATTTGTGGAGAGACCCTTTATGACAGATATTCCTAGGGTTAGAACATTTAATTATGACACCAAAGAGGAGTAAAAGTTGAAAGCTTGAAGGAAAGACAGCCTACCATCTCATAACTTCTACAAAGAGGTCTCTTTAAACTAATAAATCCCTCCTTTGATCTTTAAAAAAAAAAGTTTAAATTTTCCCCCTCTCAAAATAAAGCTTCTCTTCAACGAGCTTGTTTGTAAAAAAATCCAAAAGCTCCAAACCTTTTGTTTGTACTTAACACGGCTGGATGTTAAAGACACAAAAAAGGTTTGCCTGAAAGAAGGCAGAACAAAAGTGTGCTTCTATTTATGAGCTAAAGCAAGTGCTGTGTATGGCCATCGTCTTTGTAGCTACAATGCATCAGACAGGTGCTAAACAGGAATTTCAGTCTGCTTGCTGGATTTGTTTAGAAATGAAACAGCATAACTAATTCTAACAGCACCACCAGAAATTCGTTAGGAAAGTTTCCACTCTGCTTGCTCAGACTATTAGAGCCACATCAAGAACCCAAGCACACATGCCACAGGAGCAAACTGAAGCAAGCTGCATGTTGGTTTTGTTCCCATCTTTGCAGAGAGCCAACAAGCACTTGTTTAATTAAGAGTAAAAACTCATGTGTAAATAGATAGAGACAAAAGGATATTTAAATGCTAAGTCTTAGGGCAAGGAACACTGTGAAATGGGGATTTATTTTAAGCAGAAAAGCACCAACACTATTTCTGTTGTGGCATTCTGATTTTTATGTAGCCTTCACGACTGCGCTATCTGACGTCCAGTATCTGTGATGTTTACACTGGGGAGAAGAGATAAATCCTCTCACAGCAGGCACACTAAAAGGTTCATTAAAAGACAGCACTGAGAAAAATGAAGGCTTGTGGTGTCAAGGGGTTACATGAGTAGAGATTTTATTTTACTTAAGCACTGAAGTCAACTTTATTTCCAAATCTCCTTACAGAAAACATATTTTTTTAAATCTCCACACCTCTGTATAACCTGCAAGTAACCTTTTCGTCTTCTTTCCACACGTGCAGTTAAATCATTGAGACATCAACTTCAAACAACATCTAAAAACATTACTATGAATGGGTGGGGAAGCAAAGCAGAGTATTCAAGACAACAAAATCTAGCCAGAGTCCCTACAGAAGTAAGAGCATAAAAAAAGTCTGGTGGTGCAAAAAATCAGTTTCTTCCCAGATTATATCATTCTACTAAGAAATATCTTAGTTGCTCCTTGATAACAATAAAACAGAGAACACGAGAAAAAAAAAAAAAAAAAAGGAAAA